ACAGACACACACACACACACACAGACCAATCCCACTTCACAGGGTAAATATACTGTATACCACACTCCTATGCAAAGACAACTGAGCATCCCAGCTCTCCACTGGAAAAGATTCCTAAAAAAAAACTGGAACCAGCTGACATCAGACAGGAGAACCCTGTGGAATGGGCAATTCGCTATAAAAACAGGCATACGATAATCCCACAATTCCAGCCTATTGTTTTCCTCCCCAGTCTGGCTCCCCTCCCCGTACGGCTCCAGCGTCGCGGCCCAGTCTGGCTCCCCTCCCCGTACGGCTCCCGCGTCACGGCCCAGTCTGGCTCCCCTCCCCGTACGGCTCCCGCGTCGCGGCCCAGTCTGGCTCCCCTCCCCGTACGGCTCTTATGTCGCGGCCCAGTCTGGCTCCCCTCCCCGTACGGCTCTTATGTCGCGGCCCAGTGTGGCTCCCCTCCCCGTACGGCTCCCGCGTCGCGGCCCAGTCTGGCTCCCCTCCCCGTACGGCTCCCGCGTCGCGGCCCAGTCTGGCTCCCCTCCCCGTACGGCTCCCTGGCACATCTGGTCCTAAGTTGGGCTACCCTCTGGCAGAGAGCAGGATAAGTGAACAACCAGCAGCATTCAGCGCAGTAGCTGCCCCCAGACAGGGTAGGGGTGTTTGTAAAGCACAGGGCGTATCCATCTGATTTTCATTCCACCAGCTTTGAATTATCTGACCGTCTAAGATTGGCACTCGGTGCTTGGAAGCCAGGTCACTGGATGATTTGGGAGCCAGACAGAAAAACAGACTGATATTAAATGTTTAAAAAGGAAATGAAATCTCAATGCAGGAGAAACAGTGGTATTCGCACATGGCAGAAAGGGCAGATGGATGGACGTCAATCAGGAAAATATTTTACCTGCCATTGTTTTTTTCTTACCATCTCACCCCAATCACTGATTAAGAAGGAATCCCCGGAGGTTATGATGTGCTTAGTGTGTCACTGAAGGTGTCTCACCCAAAGAGTCTCACCCGTCTAGTCACGCTTACAGCTGGGCATTCTCACTGAAACAGGGAAGGACCTCTTCTCGCGGCTGTCCCAGCAGGGACGCTGTCGGGTCTTGAACCAGCAACCATTTCGGTCACATGTCAAGCTTCTGAAGAAGAGACTTTGCTAAGCGTGCCCTGGGAGCAGATGACAGGCTGCCTAATTGCACAGTTATTAAATGAGGCCGCTGAGTGCACCGGAGCTGGGCGCAAGCCCCCCCTTTCCGTTTGCCCGAGCCACATGGGCTGCTGTGACACGGGTTTGTGTGTTTTTGCTCCTCGCTCAATCATAGCACAAACAGTGGTTTTCTGGAATTTATGTTTCACCGAAAACACAAAACAAATTCCTTTTCATTCCTGGATCACTGGCACTGAGCACCTCATGACAAATAAACGTACAGGCCAGCCGTCTGACAGCGGCGTACGAGTATGAAAACTCGTCAAATGATTCAAACTTTGTCTCGGGATGCAGGGAAACGGTACTGAGCACACAGACAAACACCTATGCACTCATAGGAGGAGGAACATTAGAACAGCACACTGAAATGAAATGATACTTCATTATTTATTATTATTCATTAAATATATTGCTCAAGGGCTCAACGACAATATGACTATTTTGCCAATCACGGGATTTGAAACAACAGCCTCCCATTTGCAAACACAGAGAGCTGTACTCCACTCCCCAAAACTACACGACAGACACAGGCTTGAGCCCAGGACTTTCAGCACACCAACAGTAACCGCTCTCTGAGCGAGCCATCCGGCTCCGAGGCTGTATGAGCAGCTTACAGCGCAAACAGAGACACAGAGCTTCAATCAGCGCCAATGACGGGACTGAACCGCACTGGAAAACAGACGAACGTGCCGGTTAACATGTAACGGAGTCTGTGTTTAACATCAGGAGACGCAGAGCAGGGGCCACCTGAAATACAAAAGGCACTTTGATCTTCACAAAAGCCTCGTCAGACACGTGAGCAGCAGCTCTGCAGCCAGGCCTGCAAACAAGAGCCAAGTGACACTACGCAGGCACCGTGCTCAGTATCAAACCGCCCCCCCCCTGACTCGACCTGATGTCCCACAGTTTGACAAAGGGACAAGGCTGGGCCTTTCTTACGCAGGAACATACAAGAAAGATAGCAGGCAGAAGTACGCAAGCACACACCTCCCACTCCTGCACACATGCACACAGATACCCCCCTGGTCCTGCTACCATTGTCTCATAAGATCTACCTGAATTTACATAAGCACTCCTCACAGTAGCACAGATACATATAACCTGAGTGTACTGAGGGTTGGGTTCTCAAAGACCTGACCTCCTTTTAAGAATGACTCATTTAATTGCCATAAAGTCTGAGGGACGGGATACCTTGAGGGTCTCTGCCCTGCATGGACTAGAGAAACCTGGCACATAGCCTCCAAACACCTTCCTCATTGTATAACCTTTGCCGAACAGGAAAAAAAAACAAGTCAAAACCAGGTGGGCATACAAAAATGTCCAAAAGAATCCAGCATGTGCAGAGAAAACTGGGGGAGAATGGGTGGTTAGGCGAGCAGATGGGGAGAGCACTGCACTCCGCACACGGATCCACAGCGCAGATGCCGGGACCCGGAGCACGGGTAGCGGAACCACCTTCGGCGCCATCGCCCCTCTGGAAGATCGGCGGGCATTATTATACGCCTCGGGCGAAGCTGCTTTCAACGTTTAGTGTCAGACTTGCTTCGATAAAGATCTTGTTTGTGGAACAATCTGTCATCGGCTGGGAGAAATGCACACACACCGCCCCTCTCGGCTGCTGTCGCTGGCTCACAATGGGGACACAATATCGCAACCTGTCGCCAGCCTCATTATTAACTGCGCATTTACACTGCGCCTTGCGCCCTCGCCTGTGCCAGCACCGCGACACCAACAGCACTGGAGACTCATTCAGTGAACAAGGTTTGTTTTATCCAAACAAAGTACGACCGACCCGGCTACTTTAGAAGTGTCCTATGGTTTCATGTATGTCCAGTTTCTCAATGCCAACTCGAGCGTCTCACAAAATAAACAGATAAAAGACAATAAACCGAATGTTGTATAATGTATAAATGTTCCCATCTGTTCTTTTGTGCCATTTGAACTTCTGCTTAGACCCATCTGTTCAGCATTTCTAACATTAGTGAGTGAGAGAGAGAAAATATTTAAAAAGAACGGCTTCAGTTCTGTATCAAGTATAATTAATCACAGCCTTTGTACACCGAGACTACATAATACATGAAATTAATAAGGATCGCATGGCTTCGTAAATAAATGGGTATACAGCAATAATATGGAAGTTAATAATCAGGGAACCAAGAAATGTGATTCATGTCCCAGTTATCTTTACACTTTAATTTTCTTTAGTATTTGAAGATAAATATAGATGTAGGCCCGTGTCAATTCTAGATGTTAGCAACTAAAACGGAATACGTTTAATATATTTAATATAGAACGTGACGCGTTCTATAGAAACATTTAAAGGTTCTATACTAAGATTATTTTTCTAAAAAGCCTAAGTTATGCAGCTAAATATCAGCGATTTACAAAAACTAATGTTAAACCGTTTACGCCGCATACGAGACTCAACCAGAATCATTTACAGACCCGACACAAAACAGGCCTACAGCAAAATCAAGAGCACAACAAAGGCCTACTAAAAGTTTGTTTAAACAATTGCAAATATGTATAAACCTACTGAAAACATAATTGAGTTTAATTTTCTCAATTATTGCCATAAACGAATGTAAACCATTTGAGCATTAAAGTTTAACATTATTATAAACGAACACCACTTGCTGACACGTAACAATAATTTTTCCTACTTATTCTCGCACACGGACCTCACAGCGACCCATTGGGGAGGTTTTGCGCGTCGTCCTGTGATCCTGTAGCGCCCTCTAATGTTCCCATGGTGCAATGGCAACTTCATCTACGACGGTCAAAGATCAACGATGGCCGCGGTGAAGGGGGATGTAAACGATTTACACGGCTCTAAAACTATTTCAAAATTGAAACATAATTGGATTTTTTTAGGAGGAGAAGGAGGAGGTTAGCTGAGCTGAATCTGTTCAGCCTCGAGCAAAGGAGACTAAGGGGGGACATGATCCACGTATATAAGATTCTAACAGGTCTGGATGCTGTTCAGCCAAATAGTTACTTCAACATTAGTTTAAATACTAGAATTCGTAGCCATAGGTAGAAATTAGCAGGAGAACATTTTAAGCTGGATTTAAGAACTTTACACGGCGAGAATAGTCTTCCTGTTAGTGTAGTGCAAGCTAAAACCCTCCTCTTGTTTGTAAATTTCTTATGTTCTTATGGTTTGTGGTGGGGCAATAAATGCTTTCTATAGCAGTGCAACTGAAGTGTGCAAACTATCTCTCAAGAGGCTGCTTAAGGGTTAAACACCTGTAATGCACTATGTGTGTATTGACATTGAGACGAGCGATGGCAGGATAGCCCAAATAAATGTTGTGTTACCGCCTGAAATGAGTTAAGAAATAAGAGCATGACTGTGTGATGTGAGCTTCCAATTGACAGGGAAAAGTTATTAAAAAGATAGAGTGTGGTATAACGGTAGCCATGATGTGCAAATGTGTAAGAAAAATCAATAATTTATACACCTTTTTATTGACTCCTACCCATTTCACCCCTAATTGTTTGCCGGCTGATGTCATTTTGGAAAATATCATTAAAAGGCAATTATATGTTCAATAACATACATCCATCGTAATGTAGGGGCCTACAATTCTATTCTTCGTATGAAAACACTCATGTTAATGTTGTATTGTTATTGACCAATTGCAACTGCTATATTATTAGAGTACAAACTGATTAACAGCTTGAGATGTTAAATTTCTGGCTTCAGAGGTGTGCGGTCCGAAGAGTGGGGGCCACTACCGGTGTGAGCTGACGACATCGTTAAGTGATACGCCTAAGAGTGCTTCGGACCAACCTTACGAAAGCATCTCTTATGGAAGGTATACTTATCTAAGGACGTTTTGGGGAACACCTTACGAAAACTTAGGAACGAAGTAGCGTTAAGAAGGTTTCGAGAAACCCACCTCTCACTTTTGTTCGTATATGATCATTTGAGTTTTCGTACGTACATAAATTCGTCCGCAAGAATATGTGAACACTTTTATAAATGAACTCCCTGATTCGATGCGTTACTTAATTCATTCCTACGGTTCCAACCAAATGTCTAAATAACACTGAGAAAAAATAATTCTTACATTTTAGAAGATTGTAATGTGTTTTGATAATATTAGTTTTTAAATTATGAAATCACAAATAAGCATTAAAACATTTCTCAACAGACAAAGTGGAAAATAAAGGTGAAAATTATTATTTAAAAAATTATATTATATTATCGATTTTTTAAAATCATTTTACCCAAGAGTATGAAATGTGGTAGGGTGAAACAAACTAAAATTATTAGACTTTATATATATAATACTTACTTATCTTTGTGCTTTTCCATGATATCGAATTATCAGCTTCCTCAAAACATTTTCGTAATGAAGCATTTAAACTGTGCAAACTGGGGAAGTTCAAATGAGTGAATAAAAAGTGCTTATTTCCTTCCTTTGTTACAGCAGTTGGGAAACCAGACAGTTGTTTTCTCGTTTTTGGCAGAGAAGCTGAGAATGGACACAAGTCAGTGGGCTTTTCAGAATACGGCAACGATAATAACAGTCTCCACACTTACTACATAAGTATCGTCATCCGTTACGGACCAGTTTTCTGTCGTTCACCTGTGAACGGGATTTGTCAGCAGTCCGCAAGTGTATAATAAAGCTGAAGGAGCTGAGAACCGGAAAGCACATGGAGATCGGAGGCGCTCTGGTGCTCCTGTGTATCATCATCTGTACTCCAGGTAAGACCACGAAAGCCTCGATTACAACGCACTCCCTGGCTCTTGGACTTGATGTTGCTCCTTTTCTTCTGTGGTCTGGAGCACATAACATCCATTTCTTCCAAAAAAAGAGAGACGTCTCACCCCAAAACAAGATTCCTTAACGTTGTGGATGTAACCGTGTATTGTGGTGCTTGACAAAGGTTTGTCAGTTATCTTGAGTACGTGTGCTTTTGTCAATTATAGATGAATTATGGTTCATTATGTAGGACCCTTGTCCTTTATGAAATTCCTCCAGATTCCTTGAGATTCCTCTTTTAATTATGTTATGCACCATAGATGGGGCAACATCTAAACATCTCTTTTCTTTGAGGAAAAGCGTTTTTTGATCCTCTGCTTATTTTTTGCCCCCCCCCCCCAGCCCTAAATACTGCCATCCCACCTTTTTTTGGAATGTGTTGCAGGCCTGAATGAAAGGAATTGATGTGTATTTACCAGTAAAATAAAGCTGACCAGACAAACCATGAAATATCTGTCTGTAATGAAATACAAGTCAAGGAACATTTAGAAATCTCTGCTTTCTTTTTCAATTTGCATTCTCTATACTGTCCCAATTCCTCCTGGGTTGTATAACCAACTTCACGAGTCACAGTGGAATATTGATTAAGGAAAAGTATTAATTACATTATGGTAAAATCAAAATTATGCGGTATGTACTATAAGGAAAAGTAAGTTTGGGTTTTTCCTGCCGGAATCTGACTCATTGCCTCCTTTCACTGCTACCCCACTTCTCTTTGACATGCAGACCTCTGGCATCCACACGCAGACCATACCATTGTTTCGAAAGTTCCTTCCTTCCTCTGTAAGCCCTCTAGGCACTGGACAGATTTTTTTACATTGAAACTTGGAGCCCACTAGTTTGTTTAATAAGTGTAAGAATTTGAAATCAAAGCAGCTCTCTTCAAATGCAGTGACACTTTTGTTCTGGATCGCTGGCTGGTCAGCTATTTATGTGTGAACCTGGAAGACCCAGACCAGGATACACAGCCAGCTGCAGCCTGCAGGCCTGAAGTCTGAGGGAGGCAGATCTGTCTGATGTATGTCAATTTGTCCACCAGGCTGTGAGGCTGATCCCTGCCAACCTTCTGTGAAAGGCAGTCGAACGACACTCAACGTAACAGAGGGTGCCAAAGCTAAGATGCAGTGTATTGTCGAACATTGTGGGGAAGCCCACTGGAGTGGGGGCTGGGGGCGGATTCTCAAGTCATTCGTTGTCCTACAGCCCACCCCCAGACACGAACTTTACAACAGCACCCTTTCAGCAAACATTACCATGCTCTTTCTCGAGATCCTCAACACCAACCTGTCAGATGCAGGGCTATACCAGTGCAGAGTCAAGATGAGTACACAAACCATGAATGGTCATGTGACAACCCTGCATATCACTGATGGTAGGTAAGGCTTCTCTCCTTCTCACAAAAGGTCTGCTTGTGCTGCTGATGAGGGACACCGACGGAGTGGCATTTGGTAGGAGGTTATGTGGGATGAATAAACTTCAGTTCATTTACTGTATAAATCTGCAGTGGTTTCACCTGACAGACTGGGTTCAGTTCCTTAACCATAATGCCCCCTGCTAGCCATATTTTACTGTGAATGTTTAGGCCAGCTGCTGTCCTGGGGAAGATCAAAAATGCAATGCTTGTGTATTTTATATATCAGTATTTCACATCCTGGTCTTTGGGGACCTCCATCCCAGCTCCCAAAATGCAAACAGTTTGGCAGGGAGCTGGGAGGGACCAAAATCATGGACTGACTGGAGGTCCCTGAGGACCGGGTTGGGAAACACTAGGACATATTTAATGTTGGTACATCCAGCATGTCCCCCTGTTAACTCTAGCTACCTCTTCTCAGCAGTGGCAGGGGAGAAGGTGCGGTCCAGGGTAGCCGTGTACCTCGGGGTCTGTGTCTACATCCTTCTCATCCTGGTGCTCACCTGTTTCCCGAGCCCTGCCTGTAGGAAGTCCTGTCACCCAAGGAACCTTCCGGAAGAGCAGCCTCCAGATGTCACAGGTGTCCGTAGTCCTTTGCCACACTCATCTGGAGCTAAACTCGCTCATGTTTTAACAAAAAGGGTTATTGAAGTGGGTTCCTGGCCCAGCACTCTGACTAGAGGTGTCATATATGGGGACTCGTCTGCTGATTGAGCATCAAACTGACATTGCTTATAAACAGACAAAGAGGAGCAGATTGTAAATGCACAGATGATACTGACACTTCTGGCTGTCCTGTTTCAGCACCCGGGACGGCTCACCTGAAGGGAGAGGTAAGGGAGCTCCCGGCTTCCTGGAGACACAGGGGTATTTATTCGGGGGGTAATGCAAGCTTTTCAGGGGGTAACAGCCTGAAAAAGCTAAAACACTCTACTTCTGTAACAATAATCACCTGTTAATGATTTCTCCACCAGAATAACTACAGGTCAAGTCGCGGGTGGAAGGGGACTGTGTCAGTGGGTGACAGTCACTTCTAGGGTGACCACCTAATCCATGTCAGGAGGGACACTATGAGCTACAACAGGATTTGTAAACTACCATTTCATACATTTCAATTAAAAGGACCAGGATTTCACTTAAGCACTGGGTTCTTGCCGTATGCTGATTGGTCAGTCTCCTATAATCATGCATATGTGTCAGTAATGTTAATGCGAAACAGCTGGATGAGTCTTTCAATCTAGGAACTAACCAAACATTTTAGCAGAGCACAGAACCCTTTCAGCTTTAAAGTAGTTCGTAAAAGCTGAAGTAGCTCATAGTGTCCCTCCTGACATGGATTAGGTGGTCACCCTAGTCACTTCCCTTCCAGCGTTATGGGCTCATAACCCGACTCTGCATGACCTTGGGGTGAAATATGCACAGGATTTCAACCACAGTTTAGTTGCCGATATTACTGAGGGTGGTGACCCTTGGTTTTCTGATCCTGATGAAATTTGGCCCTTGGCGAAAAATAATTTGGCACCCCTGGACTAAAGGCATGGTGGCAGGACAGGGGTTGGGCAATCTTATGCTGAAAGGGCCGCTGTGTATGCAGATGTTCGCTACAACTCCCTAATTACATTGATAATTGGAGGATTGATTGGCTGAAGAGTCCTCACACCTGGGTCTGAACAGCTGACCTAAAGATTACCCCAAAAAGCCTGCATACACACTTGCCCTCTGCAGTAAGACTGGCCACCCCTGCGCTAGGACATATGTTGTCTACATTGCCCAAGCTGCTGGCATCCAGATCAGTGTGTATCTGAGTCTTGTGCTGCCCTGTGCGGGGTTGAGAGGGTATAAGCTGGAGCACACAGCAAACCCGGCAATGGTCATCTTGCACTGCTAAACACCAGTTACAATACTCAAGAACAGAAGTACAGATTATGGTAAAAATCCCCAGATGTCGTTCTTGCCCCGCCTTAAATAACAAGGATATATTGGTTGCATCCATGCCAATCAAGACCAATCCTGTAATTCATTTCTCCCCAAGTTCATTCTTGGGAGGCAAGTTAGCAAGACCGGATTTGCCAAGACCACAAGTATGGCCTTTGTGGTCTTGGTATTGAGAAACACTGCGACACATTCATGAAAGTCCCTACCCTGTGACAGGTCTGTCTGCTGTTTCAGGTGGTCTACACCTCCGTTCTGCTGGACAGCGGTAGGACTGCAGCCAGACAGGAACACCAAGAGAGAGCACCTCCTACGGTATATTCCTCCCTGCAATTCCCACTGAGACAGTCCCACATGCCTCAGCTAAAAAAGGAGGTCCTGTAATTGAGTGGCTGAACAGGAAGTACCGAGAACCTGCAAGAGCATGAATGGACTGTGATTGGGTGACTGAACAGGAAGTACTGGGAGCCTGGAACAGCAGGAATGGACTGTGATTGGGTGACTGAACAGGAAGTACTGGGAGCCTGGAACAGCAGGAATGGACTCCACAGCACAGACTGTATGGGACCTGTAGGCTGCCTATCTGATGTGTTGATGAGGATCCAGAATTCAGCCACGTTTCTTCATCAAAAGAAAACTCTAGCTGTAACTCACTCTGCACGATGCCATGGTGAATGTAAAATAAACAAAGATGTCCACCATTCCATTGTTTCTATGCATTTCTAAGGGTTACATGCTTTTCATTGCACTGGTGTGATTAATGCCTAACAGTGCTAGTCAAGGACATTCAATTACAAACTGCAGATTTCTGATCAAAATCTGGGTCCTTCCATTATACTGTTTTGTAAGATTATGAACATACCCTGTAAGACAACAGCTGCAAAAGGGGACAGGGAATGAATCCTCTAAACAAAATTCGCAATTAAGTGATAAAATTAACCCAAATGCGTGGCTGGGTGTGACAAACCAACCGACTCTGTCCCATCAAGTGAAAGAACTGGTCGTAACTCTTGGTCCAATCCAATCACAATGAATGTTACTGGAAGGTCCTTATAAGTGTAACAGCAGGGTTACACCAAAGACAATGTGAGAAAGGGGGCACCAGTGATAGCAGAGACCATGACTGCCTGGCATTCGAGTAAAACCAGGTGGACATCGGCAGGACCCGGGAACCTCGGGGACGAAGATGGCGGATCCTGAAGTAACGGCTTCTGTCTCTCACCTCACCGCCATTATACACCACGATGCAGACGAGCAGCTTGGAGAGGCACACTTCTGACCAATCGGCATTTGCTACACCACTTTAAAACCACTACTAAGGCCAGTTTTCACACTGCACTCAGTGCGCAGAGACAGGTCAGGGTACACTGCGATTGATTTTCTCTTAACATCTCCACCGATAAAAAGGTGGAATTTATTATTTTTTTTGGGGGGCAAGAACATTTACATCTTACTAGCTGTGCCACTATCCCTCCATCGCATCAATATAAAATACCAGCATTGGAAAGGAGCAGTTTGCATGCACGCAGAAGCATGCAGACACAGACACACACACACGCACAGACACACACACACACAGACACACGCACGCACGCACACACAGACACACGCACGCACGCACACACAGACCACACACACACTGTGGTGGGACCCTGGTCATTACCCACACTCCCACTGGGCTGGAGACAGTGCCCGGGTGTGGGCGTCTCCATGTCGAGAACGCACAGCCAGACAGAGGAAAGGGAAACGAGATCCGTGCCAATGGCTTCGTGAGCGACACTAAACAGAGAGCTTCCTCAGACACAGAACTGGACATGAGCGGCTGTGTGAAGATCATGTTCACAGGCTGAACAAACAAGACGCTCATTAACGTGACAACACTTTATAAAAAAAGGTTACCGGGGCACATTCAGAGCACGATGCGTCCCCGTCTCACACAGACACCCTTAGCACACTTTCATAACGGAGAATTTTAAAAAGAAAGTTCCCCATCCTGATCTTTCGTTTCAAAAAACAAAGAGAAAAAAAATGACGTCTTTCAGGTACATTTACGCCAGTAGCTCTCTGGCTTTGTCAGAAAGAGTCGTATTATTTACAGGCACATTCCTCCAGCAGGGGGCGCTCGCCACAGAGCGACAGCAGGCAGTCTGAAGCTGAGGAGGAGAGCCGTGTGGAGGCCGGCGGGCCCAATGCGCCGGGCGTGTGGCGCCCCCTTCAGGACTCGCTGTCTGAGCTGTTGCTGCTCTCACGGCTGATCTCTATCTGCAAGGAGGGGAGGCTGTCCAGGCGGCTCTTCTTCTTGTGAGACTGCTCCTCCTTTTCCTTGATCATGGCGCCCCACACCTTCTGCAGGTCAGAGTCCTCCTCGTCCTCCTCGCCCTGCCTGCCGCTCCGCCCACGCCGGCCTGCCTCCTCCTTCCTTTCGGGCTCTCTGTCTTTTGGCAAAGTGCCCAGTCGACTCCACAGGCCTCCTGTTTGGGGGGTGAGAGACGTTGTACACCATTTGTAATACGCAGAGGCACATCAGGCAGCAAATATCGCTGAGGCCAGTCAGGGAACCACACGAAAGGAAAGCCCACTAATGTCCCCCACATGTGATCATGGGGGAAGTGGGGGTGAAGGTGGGGAGCTCATGTATGGTGAGGGGCATTTCCAGGTGACACAGCTCTCCTTACCCGACTTGCTGTCCTTGGTCGTTTCGGAGTGCTGCCGAACCGGCTCACGTTTGGGCACGCCCAGCCGGCTGCGGACGTCCGTGAGGGGCTCCCGGCGTGGAGGGGGGTCCCTCTGGGGGGCACGGGAGGGCGAGGGCGAGCGGCGACTCTCCGGGGAGTGTGGCCTCTTTCCCAACCTCTGCCTCACATCTGGACACAGGAGATGAGGGAGATGGATGAGGATCACGGACATGAAGACACAGAAAGCACTGGGACGAAGGCCTGTGGGGGCGATCACGCTGAAACAAGAATCACCAGGGAACTGGCTGAGGTCCCTGAATGACATTAATCCTCAGCTGATGGAGCCCACAGGCATACTGATCCTCTTTCCTATTGGACAGGGTCGTCTCAGTCTTAAGGAGGAACTTTCAACTACGAATGAGCAGGTTTAAGCTGTATAATCCCAGATCTGATTACAGCAGCTCTTTTCAGCCGCACACCAACCTGTCTTGCCGCTGGACGCCACCGGGGGGCGCTGTTGGGACAAGCCCTGGCGTTTCTCCTCCAGCAGTTGCCTGACGTCCGTCACCTTCTCTGCCTTGGTCCCGCTCCCCGGTCCAATCCGGTTCCTCAGGCTGGAGCCGGACAGACTGTCCGCACGTGTGGAGCTCCTGAGCGACACAGAGCAACGTTCAAAAGGTCCCCTGCACCAGATAACATGCTGAGGGCACCAGCCACCTCCATTAACAAAGACCAAGAGACTCTAACAAGCAGACTGATACACAGCGATTTCAGGTGATGAGGACCGAGGACAGTCAGGACGTCACGGGAAAGGCAGTGAGCCCGAGGTCACGGCTCACCGCAGGCTCTTGAGGTTGGACTCCACCTCGTCAGCATACATGGTCATCTTCATGCTCTTTTTGGGCGACGGAGTGGAGATCATCTTCAGCTCCAGGTCGTAATCCATCTCGTCTGAGTCGGATGATCCGGATGCCGGGGCAGGCTTACGTGGGCCCCTGCCCCTGTCCTTCTCCCTCTCCTCCTCCCTGCCCCTGTCCTTCTCCCTCTCCTCCTCCCTGTCCCTGTCCTTCTCCCTCTCCCTGTCCTCCTCCCTGTCCCTGTCCTCCTCCCTGTCCTCCTCCCTGTCCCTGTCCTTCTCCCTGTCCTTCTCCCTGTCCCTGTCCTTCTCCCTGTCCCTGTCGCGCTCGCTCTCCTTCTCCCCCCAGTACTCCACAACTCGGTCATCCGAGTCCATGTCTTCCTCACCATCTTCTTCCTCTTCCTCCTCTTCCTCAATTGGTTCCTCAGGTAAGTTCACCAGGTCTGACCACAGAAAATATGTTAAATATGCAACACACCAGGAAATATGCAAAAGATTAAGACCCAGATTTTGCGTGGATTTTGGAGACTTAGTTACCCAACAGCACAGCATGTGATTTTAAACCTAACCAGGTAAGTAGTTACTGTAGGAACAATACTGTGACTGGCATTGTACTACAGCTTCTCTGGCTGGTACCCACCCGAGTGCCGGTGTGTGTAGGGGGGTGTGTGGCCCATACTGTCTCCAATCAGTGGCTTCTTGGTCCTCAGGACGTCCCTCTGCATTTTGCGAGTGTGAAACCTGCGCTTCCTGCACAGAGGAGGGGGTGGGTGTCAGCGTGCGGCCATCTTTGTGGACAGACGAGCGCCGTGTGGTTCTGGCGGCATCTCACCAGGAGTTGCTCAGAATGCCCTTCATGCCGCCGTAATTGGGGTTCCCGTACTTCATGTAGTAACGGCTGCGCCTGGCCGCTCCGAGCTCCTTCTTATCGTCTGGACATAACAGAAAGAGGTCACATGACTCTCAGAACTCGTTTTCACTGGTTGGGAGTAAAAACACTCAGCAGTTAGATGTGTAGCGCTCTAAAAAAATTTAAATGCCAGCTAACTGAAAAGTTAGCTTCGATAACCGCTAATGCACCAACTCCAAAGTTTAATTCGATAATGCTAAACCGATAAACCACTTTAAAAAAAAACGATAACTGCTAACTTTTTTATATGAATTTAGCTTCAGCTTGGTTTTTGGCTCTGAAAACCATAAAACATACCTAGAGAGCTGAAATTCTAACCTGTTCAGCAGGGCTGGAGTGATTACCTGGGGGTATTTAGGATTTACCCACATGGGTATTGTTGGATTTTGTAGAGTCTGTAATAGAGCAGCATTGAAATTTTCTTTCCATTATATTCCCTTTTGCGAGATATAAGCACTTTTGTCGGAGGTCCTACTCCACGACTGGCCCATGCTGACATTTTGCCCTCAGAGAAGATTCTCTTGGGGACTACAAACATGGCACCATTTACCCAGAACTAGGAAGGAGGGTCTCCGCTCTTTTGCTACGTTCCATTTGAACTCGTAACACGTAAATTCCGAGTTCCTAGTTGGAAATTTCAACTAGAACGCCCCCTAAAGTCAGAATTCTGAACTCGGAGGAATCGACACAACCCCAAGCTCAGAATCCAAGATGGCTCCGCTCTTTATCAACAGAAGTTAAAGCAGTAGTTTTAGTTTTATCAGCACTTGCATTTTATTTGTGGCTCATTATTTATTTGTGCTGTCTATGGACGTGTTGCTGCAGTGTTATGTGCAAAATCCCACGTAATGTGTTTTCATCAACTGATATTGCTAACAATGGCTAACAATTAGCCGGACTAAAACTACGGGGGGTTTCAAAGTAGAATTTCTTGCTTAGCCAGACAACTTGTCAGATTTAAAGTAAGTCTGTAAGTCTGGGCTAAATGTAAGTAAATTAAATCTGGCAAATTATCTGGATAAGAATGAAAACTTGCTTTTTGAAACAGGTCCCTGGTATTGCTAAATGGCTTTCTGACTGTACTGGAACACGGTTAACTCGAATGTGACGTTACTCACTCCCAGTTTTGAGTTCTGACCCCTGAGGTAAATGGAACGCAGCATTTATTGGTCTATAGCTCTATCAATCAGAACCCGGAAAACACAACCGGAGCACTATCATGAAGCAGGATTTCTTGCTTAGTGAAATAGCTTGTTGGATTTAAGGCACTCTGGGTTAAATGAAAGTGAACAAAGATCAAGTCCATTTAAACTAGGGTACCTTAAATCCAACAAGTTATCCAGCAAGAAATCCAGTTTTGTGATACAGGCCCCTGTTCTCCACTTAGTTCAGGGTACGCCAGTATAAATGGCCCAGACTACCTTAAATCCAACAAGTTATCATCCAATCACATCTTGTGTTTAAATGTAGTCGGCCAACAGCGTGTCAGATAGACTCTTGCAGACATGCTTGCAACAGATAGGAATAAATAAGTATGATTTTAAGGGTTACAGACATTTTTTACTGTTAAACTTTGTTTACCTACAAAAAATGTTAGCGGATTTACAGTTAGCAGAAATAAATTTTGCAGAAGCTAATTCGTCTGCTAACAGTTTTCAAAGTTAACGGAGACGCTAATCTGCTAACAAGAGTTATCACTTATTAGGGGTTAGTGGGTTAGCAGAATCTTGCCCACCACTGCATTTAAGTGGTACTGCACACGTACACATTGCACATTACAACCTCCCATTCCTAGCATTTATTCACAACATTGACATATTTGTCCACTAGAAGGTGTGTGACTGGAGAAAGCAGGAGACAGGAGGTGTTAAATATTGAACAAATATTGAGGGTATTAGAATGGCACACGCTACAGTTAGTGTTGCATGGATTCAGGGCCCATGAACCCTGGCTACTATCCTGCCCGCAGAACTCACCGTGAGTGGCAAACCTCAGGAAGAGCTTCTTCCCAGCAAACGGCCGGATCGCTGGACGAAGGTCATTACGGAGGAGCGACTCTTTCTCTGCCTGTGACAGAGGGTCCGACTGGGGTGGGAGGTCACACAGATAGGAAGTAAGTACACCGCTGGAAAGCAGCCAGTGTGCCCTGCTAGAAAGTGCCGAGTGGTTAGTCAACACAGTGCTAGTTTAGGTAGTTATGTGAGAAGGACAGAGAATGACTATGGCAGGTAAAGGACAAGATGTTTACTGCCATCCCAAAGCTCTCGTGTCCTCATACAGCACAGTGTAGCATCAATGAAGCAGCCCCCGGCCTCTCTGGGGGCACAGCAGCAGCTCAGTGCGCCCCCTGCTGTCCGTACCTGCACACTGTCAGATTCGGCATTTGTCCCCGCCTGGTCCTCGTCGCCTTTGTTCTCGCCAGCTTTCTCCTCAACACTTTTCCCTTCCTTAGCCGCCTCATTTTCGTCATCCACCTCTCCTTCCTCCTCATCCTCCTCGTCATCGGAGTCTCGTTCTCCTCGTGCTGAAAGAACATTCGTTTGAAAACGATCCAAAAAGAGACCTCGATTGGTAGAAAGGGGGTGGAGGTTTGCAGTAAAAAAGCCGGGTTCCACCATGCCCTTCACTATGACGATCAACTATGTCTCACTGGAGCAGGTCAGGCTGAGGACCTCAACACTAACTTGACAAGCAGTTTCCATGGAATTTTCACTTAAGTTCAGGCTCAGCACTTACCCCTGCGCTCTTGGGCTGGCTGGTGGCCATCCGGGGAGCTGGCCGTTACCGTGGGCGGAGCTTCGGGGTCTGGCATGCGGCTGATGTTGATAAGGGCTCGGGTTGAAGTGTTGTCATCCAGCCAGACCACGTTGCCTAGGAGACATGCACCGTCAAAAGGCAGAACACTGGTGCAGTGACATCACCTCCATCCCCTGACTTCTTAAAGGGGCAGCGATATCCCAGCTAACTGCAACCACTGACCATGTATTAGAGTCAAGGATGTAAGAACACACATTTTTATTTATGTATTTTAAACATGTTCTGCTTAGACTTTAACTGCAAAAAAAAAAAAAAAACAGACAAAACATTCAGAGATAGAAGTCAATTAGCATAATAGCACTAACAAAATGTTAGTGAAAATGAGGGAACATAGGGCAGGGAAGGGCAGGGACGACGCCCAAAGATCGCTAGCTCTCCCTGGGGTTTTTAGAGGTCGCTCCCACACCGAGGGACACAGGACAGAACATTCTCCAACTACGATTCTGGGACAGGCGATGCTAGCTGGTGTAAACATGCCTTCCTCAATTATGAGCATTGTAAACACCAGTATTCCTTGCTGGAGATAAACCAAGCGCAAACCCCACAGACACTGTGACTCCTTGGTTCGGGACGCCGCTCTAATCCATCCCCGATACGCATTCAGTGCTGACACTGACGATTTCAGTAATAACATACATAAGCAAATTCTGATTTCTTTAGAACGCACGGTGGGACAATTTTTTTGCAATAGTCTGGAAACGTCAAAATATTTCCATATTGTCCTTCCTTTTTCCATACCAGAACTGGAAAACGGCAAAATCAAACTGCATATTTTTACCATACTGCAGAGGAACCCTGATAAACGTATAAATAATAACCATTAAGCACAAAGTTTAACGTCACCTACTGAAGCTGAAGGACACCCAGCACAGATGGGTCTGTAGGACCATCCCTAAAAGGTTACCCACTTCCATGGATACCTGTCTGTCTTTCAGCTGACTGAGACCCTGCCAGATCCTTCTGGTTCTGTCCCGTCTCAGTACCAGAGCTCAGTAAGGATGGCGACGGCACAGGAACGACGCCAGGGGGAACTCACAGGACGTGTCGTCGATCCACTCGATGTGAGCTGGCGGGTACTCCTTGAAATACCCAAAAATGTCCTGGGTGCTCATCTCGTCCACCCCGCAGACATGCAGAGCTTCGGGCCGCAGCTTGGGGATGGCTGCATGGGAGGGGGGCAAAGGACAGCAAGTCAGAACTGGAATCACCAGCGTCGAGCCATGCAGTCACAGCAGAAGCGCAATATCCACCGTCCTTTGGAAACCCGCCATCTGCCATCAGCCATGCTCAGACCTACCTTTCTTCATCATGTCCCTGTCCAGTACCACGGTCCTCTGGGCCAGGTTGACCTCAGCACGGAAGTGAAAGCGCCTGGCCCGCTGCTCCTTCTTCTCCACAGCCTCCTGTGGCCACACAGAGACCCCCCCTCAACAGCATACCAGTACAGTCCACCGCTGGTGCCCAGTTCACCCTGCCATAACAGCACTTCCCAGGTTTTGCAAACCCAAGCCACCAAGTCCGACAGGTTTGCTCCAGCAAAGTACCAAACCACTAGTTGTAGTAACAGGTGTTTTAACATCCTGTCTGAGCTTTTAATGGTGTGCAAACACCTGGAGAACTGACTGAATACACAAGAAATGTAGATATTTGGTGTCATTTAAGGTCTCCGTTTTGTCAGCTTACCTTAGATGTAACGTCGATGCCCGTGATGAAGGTCCCGGCTTTGTTTGCGTACCGCCTCCTGGGATCCTAGCAGAACATACGGACGCTTGGATTCGGTCATGCCATTGAGAAAATAAAAACGTAACAAGGCCAAGCATGGCCACAGAACATGGCATCGTGACGAGCCGGTACTGCTTTACTGTCTCATCAGACAGCTTGCCGGTTAGATGGCAGCAGCCTGCGCGACCCGCGGGGACGCTTCAAACCGGCCGGTGCTGCAGCCCGCAACCCCGCAGCAGCTAGCGCCAACTACCAACCTACGCGCGTCCGTTGGTAGATAACGGCTAAACTCGGGTTATAGCTCTAGCTCGCGTGCAGTTGGTCGCTAACTAATTGCTTGTCACGGATTAGGGCAGATCTGAACGCAGACTGATCGCAGGACGTCCCGGCGCCCGGCTAGCGTTACCCTCATAGCAATGAATGGGGGACTGGAGGCTAGCCGGATAGCATGCTAACAGCCAGGCTTAGCATGCGGCTAACCAGCACCTCCACGTCCGGGCTGATGGCGCCGTCGTGATCCGCTCACCCAGGAGGGCAGGGAAGAAGCCAGGCCTAACTTACCGGCATGAACTCTTTCAGGGCCCGCCGAACCGGAACGGCCTCACTCTCAGTCTCGATTTCCCCTTCCTCCACCTCCATGGGCTCCGGTTCGCGAGCATCTCGCTCAGAATCGGAGTCGGAATCCGAATCCGGGCGATCGGAGGCGGCCTCCGGCTTCACGGAAACGCGCAAGCTGCGTACGGCCGCCATGTCTTGGCTGCGCTCCGCTCCGCACAGACTCGCGGCAGGCCGGAGCGCGTGATCTGTAGCTGGAAGCACAGCGCCGCCTAACGGCGACACGCGCAGGTGCAGGCCGCGCCGTTGTAGCGTGATACCCAGCGCGCCATTCTCAGTTGGACGGTGCGTCTGATTTTACAAAAACTCAGGTAAAGAAGGAAACATCGCCGTACTGGCTATAATAGGAAAGAATGACAGATAGTAATTTCTACTAGGGTTAAAACATAAAGAAAGCACTATACATTATATGATTAGATATCACTGTACTAACCAAGATTAAACTCCTGTTCTGGTACATGGAACACTTTGAAATACATAAGGAGAGTTTGATGTTTGCTCGCGGGGGCGGGGGCAAAAAAACGGCATCTTGTTTACCTTATGTGTTAACGCATGTATCTGATGCAGACATAATGATAATCTGTTATTTTAGCTAGGGTGACAACAAACGGCCTTTGCAAAGGTGCAGAGTGTTGGAGGTGCAGTTCGGATTTCAGGGGCGTCTGAGTGACAGGGTCTCTAAGGTCTCTAAACAATGTGGAACATAACTGGATTGTTCTGGGTTGGGGGGCCACTATGATATGCTTTCATGGGGCCCAAAATGTTTAGCTATGAAATAACTAGACATATATTCTTTCACATTCTTTTGCACTGAAACCCTGTTCAGAGCCAGAAGAAGAAAAATAGAGAAAAGCTCACACAAAATACAACATTTTATTTGTAGTAAAATTTCCATTGCACATTACATAGCCAAATATACATTTACATTACCTTTCTATTTAAATTAATTTTTACTCTGTAATTACATTTTAACATTACAACATAAAAGGAAATAAGCTAAAATAGCAATAAATATATTCTTTATACACACAATGCAGGCAGAAGGACTTTCTCTGTAGGACAGCATGAGATTTCTGCATCGCCAACCAAGACCTGGAAACTGTGCTTACATTCTATTCACACAACAGTAGCATGTTTCATTTTGGTCACACACTGATTTTGAATAAAATTATATTTTCCTCTTGACAACTGGGACAGCTCGCTAAAGAGTGAACGGTGTTATTACAAATGTTATGTAACATACAACATGAGAAACAAAAATGGTTTGCGGCCATCTTTAACATAAAGTGTCCCTTCTGTATATGTGCTGTTTAATTTAATTGTCTAGATTTGAGGTATACTGACTTTCATATATACGATCTCTTTAAAATAACTGAATATCATACGCGTATGTAATCGTGCTTAGATGTTACAGGTATGCATTCATTCTGATAATTTTTAATGAATGTTAAATGACGTAACTTTTTTCCCCATCAGTTTACATTTTAGTGTAATTTGCACTGGCGGCCACTAGATGGACCTGGAGCTCTAGGAACTGCACTTTATTGTTCATATAGCTGCATGCCATTTCGCAGGGTGAAGCCAATGGCGGCGGAACTTACGCGGAACAACATTAGCGGCAGCAAGGGATAAAGTTTCAAGGCATTTTAATGGCACTTTGCAGGGAGTTTCCTTTTATAAGTGATGTACGGAGATAGTGTTTGTTTTAATGACCAGAGTTAGGCCATTAAGAAGCAATGTCCCTGAGCATCAGACAGAGCGTGATTGTGAGATAGGAATGAGCTGGAGTCTATTTGAGGTTCTGATTGTGCTGATAGGAGACCTGGCCTAACACTGAGCCCCCGCCCCGTCATTTCTGTAAGTCTTTGGTGTGATCTGGAATGAGACTGGTTCTGTGCTTGTTACATTTCCAACCGCATCACTCTACTGTCTCTGAACATCGTCGCAGCAGCTAAAAGCTAAAAGTTCAATGAGACCACAAAGAATTCAAGGCTACACAAAATCTGAGACGTTACTAAGAGACGAAACTAGAGGAAGCTTAGGTTGACAAAATGCAGAGCTGACTACTGGAGCATTATCTAATTAAGTCTTTAACTGCTTGCTGTTGCTCTTTCACTTGGCAATGTCATGTCAGATTGTTTTGGACAATCATAGCCAAATTGGTAATGCCAAGTAAATTTGTGGCAATGGCTTCATTGCCGACGCGCAATATCTTTCTAAACATTTTGGACGATGATCCTCTTCTGTTCTTGGTTGAGAACAGTGCGATAATTACATTAACCTTAAGAGTTCCTTCTTCAGTGCTTCCAGCTTCTGAAGTGGTCTCCTCTAGTATGACATCACCCCATTCTCACCAGCTGCCTGGGACAGTGAAGAAAATGGAGACAGTGTACTGAAGCTGAGTCTGAACAGCAGGGGAGCTGTCATAATCACAGGACAGCGAGGAGTGTCAAAGGAGACCACAGGACCAGACCGCGCAAAGACAGCGTGGACGGGAAGAAGATCTGACTTACCAGCAACTCTGCCTTTTGTACATAAGTGCCCTAGTGTCCCTAGAGGATGAAGTGAAATCAGTTAAATAAATGGTCTTGTACTGAGCTGCAGTATAGAGTCTACACAGACACACAGAGACACTCAGACACAACCACACCTGTGCTTTGTGGGGACCATCCATTAATTTCTATGGGCAAAACCCTAATCCCAACAATGACAACTTTAATCCCTACCCAGCCCTAACCTTAACCATAAGTAACCAAATAAAATACAAGACTTTTGGCATTTGTTTTTGAATGCAGTCAAAGATTTTTATAAAACTGAATTTCTGCTTGTGGGGACAGAAAAAATGGTCCCCGCAACATCCAGGAGAGATTTGGTCCCCACAATGTAATGTATATCAGACCCACAGAGACAGACACACATACACAGACTCCATGTCTGTACTCACTGCTGTAGAGTGGCTCAGCTTGTCAAAGCGAAACTTTAAGTTGGACCTCGGCGACATCTTACTCTTTGCATCTTTCAGGGAGAGAAGATCATATGATCATCAGTGGAGTCCTGTCCGCCGTGTCACTGCTGTGTGCTGGCGTCGGGGGGGGGGGGGGGGGTGGAGTTACCTGTGGGGCTGCGGCACATGATGGCTGGTGCCACCAGGCCGTCCACAACGAGGCAGGGGCTGTACACAGATGAAGAAGCCATGGAGGGTTGGCTGCTCTGGGGGAGGGCGGGGGGCAGTACTTTTTGTTATTAACCGTGTCTGATGCTATTAATAATCGCCACCAGGCCACGCCCACCTCAGAGCTAGTGTTAAGCTCCTCCCCAGGCCAAACCCACCCCTGCACTGCTGCTGTCCAGCTCATCGAGGACCTCGCCCTCCCCGGCAGCGCTGCTGAAGCTGCTGGTACTGCTGGAAGAGCGGGAGATGTTCGTCCGGCCCATGCAGTCCTTCAGCTTGCCTGGAGGCCTGTGGGGTGAGGAGCGTGGCCACTGTTCAGCCCTGACACGTCTACGTCACTCGCTCATTACTCACACACGGCTATTCACCTCTCCTTATTGGGGCAGATCTCTGGAGAGCTGGGGTTAGACAGGGTATCTGACCTCACTTCCTGTGACATGGGGCTGCTGTCTGAGCTCTTCTGGTCACTATGGAAACAAATGGAGCTGCTCAGCACTGAAATACTGCCAAGCACAGGGAACTGGGTTTGAAACGCCTTGAAGATGCTGGTGTGACGGACCCACCCGCGGGCATGCCTGTCCGCCTGGCTCTCTGAGCTGGAGTGTAAGCGCGGGAACAGCCCCGACTTCCGTTTTACTGGGCTCCTTAGTGGGGACTTGGCCGACATCACAGGGGGCTGGATATGGAAAAGATGGGGAGGGCGGAGTCTCACCAATCTGCTGATGCACCCATTCCTGCGAGCTCTAAAGCACCTGAGCAAACTTCAGTCCAGAAGTAGGCCCATTGTGCCCTGCTCTGCCACCCCCCCCGCCTCACCGTGTACGTGCTTTTTGTGCACTCCATGCTGTTCTGTGGCACCCCGCTTCCGAGGCCTGGGCCCCGGTGGCGATGGGACACCGCCACTGTCTCCATGGAGTGGCTACGAACCCGCATGGCTCTCTGGGTAGGGAGGGGAAATGGGACAGAGAAGAGGATTATGGGTAAAGTGACTCACCATTCTATAAACACTGCACTGTTAAGTGATGGACAGAAAGAAAAAATATTTTTCCTCTTGGGTAAAAATTTTAATGAGCATTTAACGACCATCATAAACATGTCAAACTATCAGAACCGTCCATCCATCTTCCACCTGCCAGTTTAGCTCGTACAGGACCATGTGAGCTGGGCATCTAAAGCAGGAAGCACAAGACTTTGATCTCCTCGGCCATGATGAACTGTCAAACCGCACCACAGAGTGACAGAGTACACAGTTAGCCCCTGGAAATCATGAGCCTTGTGCTTGGTGCCGAACACATGCCGCAGCAGACAGTGACTCTAAGGTAGGACTGTTACAAAACTCATTGGTTAAGCCTTTGTCTCTGAAGGTGTGTTTTGGTGCCTGGACCAGAGCCGGAATGTGGTGTTAAGCTCAGAGCTGGCCTTCTCACCTGACCCCTAACCAGAGGATGCATCATTCCCAACCCAAATGGTTCTGTAGTGCAGTGTTTCCCAATCCAGTCCTCGGGGACCTGCAGATAGTCCATGTTTTTGCTCCTTCACAGCTCCTGGTAAAATGAGGACTGTCTGGGATGGAGCACAAACGTGGACCGTCTGCGGGCCCCCGAGGGCCAGGTTGGGAAACGCCGCCGTAGCGAGAACTTTAAGTGTTCAGTGCCTGTGTTAGTGACCCCGTTCCCTCCCTGCTCCCATCTGCTGCTGAAAAGGAGGCTGGAGAATCAAGCTCTGGGCTCCTCTGAAGCGACTGAAATGTGATTCTGCTGCATGAGTCACTATCACACAGTGTCACTGGGGAGCTAAAACGACTCTGCCTATAGAACTGAGGGCAGCATTAGCACACTTTAGGATAAGCTGAAAGACAAAACAACAAAAACTCTAAACAAAAAACAGCATGTTTTATTGGTATTACATGTTGATATCAATGACTGTTTTTTCTAGAGCAGCTGGGAGAGGTAGCAGACAGAAACTGCCACTGCACAGATCAGCACAGCGCCTCCTGTGGGTGTGGAGGTCGCATTGGACAAGAACCTCCACACTGCCTGTGAAGAGCAAAAGGCCATACCATCAAACAGGGGGCTGGGGGGTGCCATGGGATTCCCATCGCAGTGTGTAATTTGGTAGGGGCCACTCGGGGCTCCTGCATTCATGTTTATTGCAGCATAAAGGGTGAAATTTGTCCACTATATATGTTTTTCTGCAGCTGGGGAGACAGACAGGAGCCCACCTTGAAGGACTCCAGCAGTCCGCCATGGCCGCCATTCTCCAGCCTGTCCTCATCGGAGCTGAGCCCCAGGCCGTGGCCCAGCGCGGCCAGTGTTTGGCAGTGAAGTTCGTCGTGGAGGTTATCCAGCAGGGCAGCCCGTGTCCGACCCTGACACAGGCAGGCAGACACGTGGCTTTATTACACACGTGTGCAAACACACACATACACATGCACAGATACACACACACACATACACAGATACACACACACACATACACAGATACACGCAAACACAGACACAGATACACGCAAACACAGACACAGACGGAAACACACATACAGACACACAGATACTCGGGCTTTATCTCACACACACTCACACACACACACACACACACACACACACTCAATCACTGCTGCTCACTTCCAGCTTAGCGAACTTATCCGACTTGTAGCAGGCGGTCTCTGCGTTGATCAGCTTGGTCAGCAGGAACTCCCGAAATTCTGGACCCTAATATTAGTGCGCAGGAGGGAGAGGATCCCAGCAGTGAAGACACAGAATCTGAGCACTTAACACCTGCTGCATCATGCATCCTAAGTTTGCTGGTTCACGTCCCTGCCATAGTACCCTAAATCTGAGGGCGACAGACGGGATTCCCTGTGTCCATCTCGTACCTTCTTGAAGACTGCTGGGTTAGGGAGAGGCGGGCCGAAAGGTGGGACATCCTCTCGAGCTGTGACAGACACCTGCGGTCAGAGAAAGAGTCTAGTTCCGTTCTCTCTCTGCACAGGTAGGAGGAGTGTCCAATGCTGTGTCCACAAAGTGCCAACGGTGAGTTGTACTATTTAAAAATAGTATGGAGGGAGTTAGTACCTTGTATGTGGTTTGAGCTGTGCAAGCGTGCTCCACCTGGACCAGGATGTAGGCATGCAGGAAGTTGGAGGCGATCATATCAGGAACAAAGGGTGTGCCCTCTTCCTGGAAGATGACCGCCACGATGTCGTTGCCGATGTGCCGCTTCCGCTGTAGCTGAGGGGGATCAGTAAATACTTAATCGCCATGACAACATTCACGCACTTGCTTATGAGGAAGAAATGAAGGCTTAGGCAGCTAATTACAGCTGTTTATTGATGGCCTCTGGTTGGCGCTGGGGGCTACCTGCTGTGTGTCCCCGTCTGTGTATGGGAGCTTGGTGGAGACGTGGAACATGATCTCCCTGCGTCGGAAGACCGTATAGACAGACTGCGAACCCGTCTGACCGTGGGACACATCCAACCCCCCACGGAACCTGAGAATGCACCAAGGCGAGGGGGTGTAACTGGAAGGCGCTGCACCCTGCTCATCAACAGTAACGTAAGCGTAAACGCCCGTGACGGGAAGTGGACGTGATTGAGGATCGACTCGCGTGGTGCTGTGACTCTTACCCTTTGAAGTCCTGCAGGTCGATGCAGTCTCCCAGCAGACTGAGGAACTCCTTAAAGGCAGGAGTCTCCGTGTTGTTCCCGAACAGCTCCTCCTCCGTGGTCTGCAGGGGAGGCAGGGAGCTGATTCTGTGTCACACCCGTGTACCCGCCACGCCACTCACCAGTAAGCAGTACAGTCACAGCTAATGCTAAAGACACCCAAGTAAGCAAACTGGCCCGCTCAGCAATTAATGCAGGAAATTTACTCTCAGAAACCTGGAGCTGCAGCCAGCCAATCATATCCCAGAATTGGAAACACTCACCTGGCCAAACGTCTGGTAGATCACCCCGAACTTGAACGTGTTGTTAATCTCATGCTCATCATAGCTAACTATGAGCTGGGATGCCTAGGAATACGAAGGGAAATGCAGGTGTTCCTGGGTTACCACGGTGACGGAACACAGCACCGTGTAATCCAAAGTCCGAACTGGCCCTCACAGTGATCGAATCAACGAGATCGAATCAACGAGATCCTGTAAGCACTTAGAGCTAGTTATAGTTCCGGTTGTGCTATGGGTCTGTTTATGTGTGGGCCCAGGTGCATGCTGGGAGTTTGACTCACTCTGGGGTACAGGACTGGGCTGAACTTCAGACCAGGCACATCGTCGCAGAACAGCTGAAATGCAGAGCCCCCCCCCCACAGTACGATTTTAACACTGACAGCAGGTGGACAGCGTATGGATATAAAGATGGAGGCGAGAAGCTGGGGAGTACCTTGGCTATCTGAGGGATGCTGGGCAGCTGGGAAAGGCCCTCCAGGTGAATGCGGTCATGCAGCGTCTTCATGCGAGACCTGAAGGCAGGATCAGGTGAAGTCAGCCCTCACTCTTCCCACTCTGTACCTCTCCACTTGCAAGCCTATTAGTGAGCAGTGAGTCTCTGAAGGACCACCCAGTGAAGAGGGGGAATGCCTTGGGCACCATACAGGGCAGAGCTCAGTGTGTACTGCCCGAACATACACGACACATGACCACCTGACACGCCCTGCCTGCCTGAGCACAGC